GGCCTCCCAAAGTGCTGGGATTACAGGCTTGAGCCACCGCGCCCGGCCATCCTCACTTAATTTCTTATTCATTCAACTAATGTTACAGAACATCTCTTAGGAGATGTCATCTAGCCAGATAGTTAAGAACACTGCCTTTTACTGACTTTGAGATCTTAGACAATGACTCTAGCTCTCCATTTCTGTTTTAGCATTTTTAAAATGGGGCAATTATCATATTTGTCTCATAGAGTTATTGTGATAGGTAAATGAGTAAATCCATGTAAAGTGCTTAGAACCACTTGTAGCATTAGTGGGGCCTCAATAAATGTGAGCTGACAGCAGCAGCAGCAAAGATCCGTCCACGTCCTGCCACACTCACACCTACTGCTGCAGTTATAACTATTGAGTTCAGCAAGTGCCAGAAGAATGGAGCCTCCTGCCTTTTGGAAACAGATTGTTGTGGACTGATTATTTGTGCCCCGACCAACTTCGAATGTGTATGTTGAAATCGTAATCTACAAGGTGATGGTATTGGGAGATGGCCTTCGGGAGGTGTTAGGTCATGAGGGCTGAGCCTTCATGAATGGAATTAGCATCCTTATAAAAAAGGTCTAAGATATATAGCTTTGAAGTCAATATAGCTTTGAAGCTATTCAATATAGCTTTGAAGTCAGACAGATTTGGTGTTGAGCCCTGGTTCAAGACCTGTGACCCTGCAAGCGTAATTTACTTTATTACCTTCCATTTCTCATATGTGAAATAATAATCAGAGTTTTGCCATGATGAAGATAAAGATGAAATAGTTATAATACTAACAACCCCCGGCACACACTTAGCACACATGTGCCAGACATAGTTCTAAGCACTTACATATGTGAATTTATTTAATATATATAAGTAGGTGTCCAATAAATTATAGTTGTTATTATTCTGCCATGTTTTGTGACGCACAATTTAGGTTTTAAATTTCTCTTTTATCTACATTAATGGCATTCCTAAAATTATTAAAAACAATAGGTATTTGGCTAAGGTTCAGAGATCATCGTTTTGTATTGTTTTCATAGGGTTATTTTGGAGCCGTTGGGGCCCTGTTGGAACTGTTCAAAATGACCGATGACAAGTAGAGATGAGCAGTGGAGGGAACAGCCTCCCCAAAGGACAGAGAACTAAAAAATTGCTGCTGGAGAAGGTGAAAGTCGCTTTGGGACGGAAACCAAGCCATTATGGCAGATGAACCTGCTGGATTTGTAAATAATTTAAAATCCTTCCAGATGATCTTTTACTCTTAGGTTTTGAGCTAATGATTCAAAACGGGGGAATATAAAAGGTTTTTTTCTGTATACTGTATTTTTTTAAAAAAATGGTGCAGCGTGGCCAAACCTACCAATTGTATGCATTAACTTTGAAAAGTTGTTTGATGTTTAAGAAGGACCTGATATGTAAGCGCTGTTCATTTTTCTTCTGGGGTTTACTGATCAGTGTGGTGATTTTAACTTCATTTAGTAATTACTCTAGGAGATTTTACCTTGACTCATATTTTTCATGACGTTTCATGATTTGCTGTTGGTTTCAAATGAAACTACAAATCTGGCATGTTTTACTGTGAACACTTTTGTTATTTGTTTGTTTACCCTTTTTTGTCTCGTTTTTCTGTTTTAGTTGTCTTATGAAAAAAGAGAGTCCTTCCCTCTGTTTCTGTCCTCGGATGATCTCCCTCCCCTACCTGTAAACTTTCTTTGACATAATTGTTCATATCAATGAAGGTGCTGACCAGCTCAATACAAAGTTAAGCACAAGATCTAAAGCTCTTGAAAATGCCGGTGAAGAGAAGACTGAATGTTAATGAATTTAATGAGTCTGGCAAGTTTGTCTTATCCCTTATAAATGTAGCGTTTCATTGGATTTATTTTATGCTAGGTGATATTAAGTTGAAATAGTCTATGATGAAATGTCCTCATCCATGCACAGAATATGAATGGCAGCAAATCTTTGTGCAAGAAGTTTGGAACTTATTGGGAAAAGCCTCCCAGTTGATTAATTGTTCATATCAGGAGATTTAGGGTAAGTCATGGGTTGAGGTGTCAGATAGTAATATCTGTTTGTTTTGTACATGTATATATCTAGGAAATTTGTAACAATACATCTTTAATAATGTTAAAGTTTTTTTCATTTTTAATATTTTAAACTAAAAACTGTACTTCAATCTCAGTTTCTAAAATTAAAAATAATTTATACTGATCTATATATTTTTTCTTTTTGAAAGATTTCATTAAGATTGATGGGTAACTTTCAAATGAGGGTCACGTACAAATATCGGAATGCGTGAGATCCCATGATCTTGTGTATTGAGCTTATTGTTGAAAGGGATTTTTGAAGGACAGAACAATTACTCCATGATGAATCTTCCTTTCTCTGCCTTCTGAGCACCGTCTTTAATTTCCATATCTTCAAGTCTTGAAGAAGTTGATGTTAATTGAAGAACTCATTTGTCTGGTTGAAATAAAGCCTGTTTCTGTTGTGATGTTTTTAGTGTATATGTTATTTTCATTTCTTAATTCTCATGTTTATAGTATCGGCTTTGTACCATGAAATGACTGTGTGTTGTGTTTTTGCTACTCTACATTTCAAAATCGGAGGCTTTCCCATGAGTGTGGTATGTTCCAAAACACTGTGTCTTCAGGTGAAGCTGTAGCCCTATGCATAGATTTTTAAAATATAGCTTTATTGTTTCTATACAAGTGACTCCTTAATGCCAACTATCACTGCTATATTTGTTAATTCCAAAGGAGTTTCAAAATTTGGTCATCACAAATATATTTTATTAACTTCTGTCTGGCTTTTAAAAAATTCAGGCAGCTAAAGTGTTCTTGAAAAGGGTAAGTTAAAAATCTACATATTATTTATAACTAGTGCCTTTTGATGGCCTCTTCTACTATTCCTATTCTCATCTATCAGGTAACAGCAGACCTTGGTTCTACAGATCATGGTTCTACAAAGGAAATCAGGGCAAGTTAGTGTGACTGTATATTTTTTTAATTATCTGAAATCACTTGATCTCTGATGACAAACATTTAAAACATTGGTGTAGCTGAGAAAATATATTATTCCATTATACAAATATCAGTTAAATGTTGACTACATATAGCCAGCCTGTTTTTTACAAAAGAGAACGTGTAGCCCGAGGATTTTCACATTCACTTGAATTACAGAAACTTTTCTTAGACCCAACATCACAAAGAAACTGGAAAGACTAAAGAATTTTGACCTTGTGCAATATGAAGTAAGAGCATGGCTTTTTATCGTGAGGCAGCTTCAGTCTGGGTCCAGCTTAGTCAGTTACCAGTGCAGACATATGCTAAGCCTCTTTCTAAACCATAGTTTCCTCCCCTGTAAAATGGGACAAATAATAGTTTTACATACATATTTAAAGAGCTCAGCACAGGGGTTGACATAAAGTAAATGCTTCCTTAATGTTAGCTACAATGAAAAAATAAATTATTTAAACTAATGTATTAAATCAGTAATTCTTAACCTTCTGGATTGTGGGAAACCCATGTTACTATGGAGATGTTTCACCAGTCTCCATATGCTAATACATATCCACAGCTCCTTGTCCACAATTCCAAAATCCCATACTTAGGAAATCTATCTTGACAACTCACTTGACAGCAAACTCTGACTTGAGCATTATTTCTCACATGTAGTATGGCTCTTCACATGTTTTGTTGCAAGGCTCTTCATGGGTTAGATAATAGCATACTGACTCTGACAGGGGTGTTAAGTAATAAATGATTCTGAATTGGCTGGGTGTGGTGGCTAACGCCTATAATCCCAGCACTTTGGGAGGCCGAGGTGGGTGGATCACGAGGTCAGAAGATCGAGACCATCCTGGCTAACATGGTGAAACCCCGTCTCTACCGAAAATACAAAAAATTAGCCGGGAGTGGTGGCGGGCACCTGTAGTCTCAGCTACTTGGGAGGCTGAGGCAGGAGAATGGCATGAACCTGGGAGGCAGAGCTTGCAGTGAGCCGAGATCGCACCAATGCACTCCTGCCTGGGAGACAGAGAGAGACTCTGTCTCAAAAAAGAAAATAATAAAGAAATAAATGATTCTGAATTTGAAACACATCTGGTCCTGAGTTTTAGATAAAGGGATTGTGGAAATATAGTTGTGTTCTTCACATTATGCAGTATACATGGATTCAGAGTCTCTGTTGGGAACAATTGTTACAGGTAACTTATACTTGATGTCGTTCAGTCATAGAAGGAATATTAAGAAGTTACCCTGTGCCAGGAAGGAACTGGAGACTAAGAGGCATAGGATACAATCCCTGCAGAGAAAGACAGCAAAATCTCAAGGCCAACATGAGTCATCAAGTGCCACAAGTGCCATTCAATCATTCGTTCATTCACATTCACAGCAGTAAACAAAACAAAGATCCACCATCACAGAGCTTATATTCTAGAAGGGAAGACAGATACATTACTAAATATATAATGTTAGATCAGTACTACAAAGAAAAAGTAAGTTAGTGTAAAGGCTAAAGAAGGGGTAGTTCTATTCAGAAAAATGAGAAAGGGAGGAATTTCTCAGGGTGGACAAAGACAGCCTCTCCTAGGAAGTGACCTTTGAGCAGAGAGTTGAATGGAGGTGAGGACACATTGTGTAAATGCCTGAGAAGATGTTTTTCACTCCTGGGAAATGAAAATAGGGATTTGAGGAACCGCAAGGAGGTCAGTGTCTGGAGTGAAAAATAGAAAGTGATGGGAGATGCAGTGTTGGGAGTAACCTTGAGCCAGGTCCTATGAGAAATCTGCAAGTGAGGGTAGTGGCCTCTACCCAGAAGAGAGGCTGGTCATTTGTCCTCCAGAAGGTGCTAGAGAAGGTTTCATGGACTGTTAACCGAAGAATAGGAACCACTAAGTGGAGACGAAGGGAGTGCTTCCAAGCAGAGGGAGCTGGGTGAGCAGAAGTGCTGACGGAAGAAACCCCTTGGCTTATTCAGGGACTGGAAGCTCTTTGCTATAGCTGGTTTCCCCAATCTCCGTATGCTGATATATGTTCACAGCTCCTTGTCCACACTTCCCAAATCCCATACATGAGAGAGAAACCAGGTAGTGAGAAAGTGAGAAAGAGGAAGCAGCCCAACTGTGGAAGGACTTGTTTTCCATGCTAACATTGTGGACTTTTCCATAGTCACTGTGGAGCCATCAAAGAGTTTCAAGGAAAGTGAAACTAGAAATGATCTGGCTTCAAAGCGGTAAAGCAAAATGCCCTGTTGAAGTAAATGAGTAAACAAGTTATGTGCTTTTGAATACCTAACATTATTCCATTTTTTCCCTATTGTGCCAGACCTCATGCAGTAGCTGCAGAGTGAACCATGCTTTTGCTGTAAGTAGGATGGTTATAAAAATTCTTGAGAACTTTCTCAGAGAACACAGGCTACTAATAGCTACAACCCCACTATGAGTCTATTCAGTGAGTAAGAAGGTTTCAATACCGGGAGCATCGAAGACTATCACTCACAAGAATTGTTAGAAAGCAGTTTTCCTCGCAGCGATCAGAAGATGACCCCACATTTGTGAAAAAGATTTCATTAGTGTGCATTGTTTATTATGTCTACCAGCTGCCCATTCTTTTGCTCATCTGTTTAATTTTTAATAAATATCAATGATCTGAGAGGCATTGGGTAGCACTGAGGATGCATTCCGATGTGAACAAGACTGCAGGAGCTCTGCTTTCATTAGGCTGACATTTAGTTGGTAGAGATAAACTTGAAGCATATAAACCAAGGAATAAACAAGAAAATATCAGGGAGTGATAAGTGCTATGAAGGAAAGAAACAAGGTGATAGGATAGAGAGGGAGGAGAGAGACTTCCTCAGTCAGATGGTCATAAAATGCAAGTTTGATTAAGTCATGGCCTCAGCTTTTAAGGAATGATGCGCTCACCTTGCTTTCATTCTTGCCACCTCAATGAAAATGAAAGATGTTTTTGGGAAACTGATAGCTAATTTTCTTTTTCTTAGAATATTTAATTTAGGTAATATGTATTTAAAATAAAGTTATCACATAAAATAATATATTGATTTAGTAATGCACGTTTTTCCCCTGCTCATTTAATGAAACAATATTATTTGAATTGTTTACTTGAATCTTTATTGTTAATGATTTTGTCATGACCAGAGTCATTTAATAGTTTCCACAGCACAAGTTTGAAATTTAATACCTTTTTAATCTGTCTGTGATATGTTGACCACTGGGTTTTTAAAAAACCCAGCCACAAACACCTATTCCCATGAGGAGCTCAATTATTTCACATTCCAAAAGGTGTTTCCTTAGTGTAACCATTTATGTAGAGCCTTTTAAAGTCCATTTCAAATGGCTAGTTTACAAGTATTCGTCACTTGCAATACAAAAATAAAAAGGAAATTTGTATAAAAGTCTTTGCCTCTTTTTTTAATGCTCTATCAAGTAAATAAACATTCCAAACTAGAATTAATTGAGGTGATTTCAGTTAATGTTTTCACTAAACGGTTTTCAACCAGTCCATAAGAAGAGTTCATCTTCTTTTCAAATTGAAGTATTTTTTTTTTTAAATCAACATTTTACATGCAAATAGTTTTAAAAGTCAAATACTTGCACAAGACTACGGAAAACAGCAGCACACAAGTTTTCCTTTTTCATATTTTATTTTATCATTGTGGACGTAGTGGTTTCCCAAGGGTAAGGTGATGGAGATAAAAATTTTTGAGTATTTGCCTATCTAAAAATTTCTAGAAATATTTTTATTCTATTCTAATGCCTAGTTGATAGTTTGGCAGACTACAGAATTTTATGTTAGATACCACTTTTCTTCAGAATTCTGAAGGCATGGCTCTATTATTTTGGCAATAATAGAGAAATAGGAACCTTCATACATTAGCGTTGGGATTTCAAAACAATACAGTCATTTTGGAAAACAGTCTGTCAGTTCTTCAAAAAGTTAAATACAGAATTACCATATGATCCAGCAATTCCACTCTCAGATACGTATATACCCAAAGGAAATGGAGATATACATGTACATATGACTTGTTCATGCATATTCTTAGTAACGTTACTCATAATAACTAAAAAATTAAGATTTCCCTAATGTCTATCAGCAGATGAATGTATAAATAAAATGTATACTTCTATACAGTGAAATAATATTTGGCCATAAAAAAGAATTGCAACACAAATGAACCTTGAAAGTATCATGTTAAGTGAAAGAAACTAGTCACAAAAGACTATGTATTGTATGATTCCGTTTATATGGGATCTCCAAAATAGCCAAGTCTATAGAGACAGAAAGTAGATTAGTGGTCTCCTAGGGCTGAGAATTTGGTAGAAATGAGGAGTACTGCTAATATGTATGAGGTTTCTTTTGTGGTGATGAAAATATACTAAAATTGATTGTAATGATGATTGCATAATTCAACTAAAAGTCATTGAATTGTACACTTTGAATGGATTAATTGAATGCTATGTGAATTACAGGCA